GTTCGTGAGAATTGTCTAACGAATGGTTTTTACCATGCCTTAAGTTTTCACAGATATCTGGGAACATTGTGAAATAGATCCAATGATTGCTTTATGATTAATTTTAACTTTTTCATACACCCTTTACTAAATATCGGAAAGATGTGCTGAAAACTTAGCCTTGCGCTGTCAAAGCAATTCTCGCCTTTTTTTAGCAAACTATCATATATCTTAATTCATACTTATTAGCTTAGAATAGGACCGTTTATCTAATTGAGAGTAAATGTAACCTTCGCACATGAACATGTGAGTTTTCCAGCAGTAGGTGTCTAAACTTTATTCTTTCATATGAGCCCGGAGGTGCATAGTCTAATTTGAGCTAGCTAGCGCTTGAGTGTTTCTTTATCATCTTTGTATAGATGCGCCTTATTTCAGAATGCCATAAATAATTTGCTAGTTAATAAGAGGCTTGTGATTTCGAAGACATCTGGTGGTGCTTTGAAATTGAAAGTAAACACGAACACGCAGTTAACAGGGGCTACTGACGAGGAGCAAGCGGTACGTTCATTCAAAATGTTTTGCTTGGTCAGCCGTTGTATCAAACCTCTTTAAGATTTATACTCTGATAGAAGACTCAAAACGCAAAGGTATATGGATCCGAGAATTGCGTGATGGATCAGGCTTGTCCCAGATTCAACTTCGTAAAGTGCTTAAGTCGTTGGAGCAAAAGAAACTCATCAAAAATGTAAAGGTGAGGATGTACCGTTTCAAGAATTATTCTAAGTATTAAGTAATCAATGAAAATAACGATCACCATATTAAAAGGTGATAAGAACTGATTTGTTCTTTGCTAAGGGGCACAAATTTTTGTTACATCTTAACGAAAGATATTGTATGAAATTTTGAAGGAGCTGCCGCATATTCTCACTGATAAATTATTTAGGCGGTAGGCACTACGAAAAAATGTTACATGCTCTATGGCTTGGAACCAGACACATCATTAACGGGAGGTACTTATTTTGTTTTCTTTTCACCAAACATCTAATTATCAACAGACACTTCTAGGAACCTTTTACTCGGATCAACAACTGGACTCAGAACTTATCCACACCTTGGTAAACGTCTGCATAGGATATGTCCAGGTAACAATAATGTTTCAGTATCTCGTCATTTTCCACCTTTTTACCCTTTTTTTCATCACTCAGATTCAAATTTCCTAGCTCGATAGGCATACAACGATGAAATCATAAGCTGAAAATGGTGATTTTTTTCTTTTTTGAACAGAAAGCAACTTAGTTCATCGAAAAAGTCTTTAATTTGAATTGTAGCCAAATACTCCTAGGAGTGCTTATCGAATTTCGGAAGTTTATTAAATTTTGTACTCAAAAATCAGTAGGGGCTATCAATTGATGTGACCTCTTCATCTGTTGCAAAATTACTTAGCTAGCCTCGTTGAGGATGCTTGCCTAGCTCTGATAGGTTTCAAGTATCTCGTCAGTTGATGAACTGGTCTTGCTGGGCAGTAAATGATAATCATCAAATCGCAAAAACCCTTGTTCCATAGTAGACGTAGAGCTGTAACCCACACTTTTATCATGTAAGGATTCGCAAACGATGTCCAAGTAGTTTTGCACTAAACTTTATGAAATGTTGTGTTATAGGCTAATAGATTGAAATTTACGCACAGCATATCACGAGCCCTCCACAAACGCTTACCCTCTTTCTCCTTCGGTAGTGTA